ACAGCTACTCACTCACATTGCACACCGAACAACATGCATCTGCAAAGCACCATTTGTTGCTTATGTCAAGAAAATTACTGAAAAGCTCATCTCTTCACTATCATTGCTCACCAGTTCATTTGGAGCACTAAGAACAGAGTGTTTTTAATAAAGCTTAAAAACAGCCTATGTTTCATGTGGGCAAAAAACAAAAATGAATGATAAACCACAGTCTTATTTTTCCTGGGTACTCTGAACAATAGAGAAAAACATTCAAGTGTGGGGGGGAGGGCAGTGGTTTAGAGCATTCAGGGAAAAATGCAAGTCCTCTTACACAAAGAGTTCATAGAGTTCAAGTTTTAGTGGCACAGTCTGTTAAACAGCAACCATACCCATGTATTTTGTACAAGCTTTATACCTATAGCTGATGTGAGACAGCACTTCTGGAGTTTAGTAACAATAGACAGGAATAAGAAGAATTTCTGCTGAGACCTATTGTGCTTGCCAAATAGAATTCAGAAGTTACTTATTAATTGTAACAGCTTTTGTAAAGAATTTCTGACTCAAATAGCAGTGTTATAAATTTAAGGCTGCTTAGATCCAAGGCTGTCTGGTTCTTTACCAGCTCCATAATTATACCTCAAGCAAACAGTGCTTTTACAGTGACCTCAATACAAATACTACATGTTCCCTCTTGCTAAATAAGCTTTGTTATGCAGCTATGAAAACTGCAGAGCTGGCACAAGAAAAGTGATTCCTTGGCCCTTTCTTTGTACTCCAAATACAATTTCCCATTCTGTATCTAAAGTCTAAACTTTCTTTTATGCTCAATGACAGACACATAACCAAAAAGTCACGATCACGTTCCCAGCAATCTTTCCCCAACTTGGTTTATCTGGAGTGCCTCAAAACATCTAGAGCACATTATTTTGTAATCACTTGTCATTGCAGCTCACGAGACCAGCAACATGAGCAGAACCACCTCTGTCCTGTAACCACATCTCTGTCTGCCCAGCTTCTTGACTGAATACCACACAGTGCTGCTGAGGCCGTGGTGCTAACCATTCCAGAGCTACCTGCTCAGCGATAGGCAGCTGAATCTATTCACTTTGCTGCACTTTTCTCCTCACCTTCACTGCTTCAGTTATCCCCAAAAGAGTCTCTTAGCAGTAATGCCCTCAGCCTCCACCACATCCCATCCTACCCAGAGTATTTGCTAAGGCTGCAGACGGCGTCCTCAGCATATTCCTAACCTGCTTTTCCTGTTCAAAACAGGTCAGGAAAAAAATCACAGCACTTTCTAAATCCTTAGAAGGCAGATGCTAATCTCTGTATCATTAGTCAAACTAGTCTAGTCCTTAGAGCTTCAAAAGACACAGTATACAGAACTGAACTTCCCCTTGACTGAAAGGCCTGAGGTCCACTTTAATTGCAAGTTGCTACACTGTAACGTCACCATTCTCATTCCTCAGACTTGCCGTATTTAAAAACAGAGAACAGCTGCGAGATCTCCTGGTGCCAGTGACCAGAATAGGAAGAAAACCCTCAATATTGTTGCCACTGCATCCCAAGTTTCCCCTCAGTGTTAGCATACTGACACCGTGTGATGCCATCAGCAGCGCCTAGTGTCTCATGAAGACACTGCCACACTGTAATCTCTCACTCCCCAATCTCTTTTGGCTGAACAAAGAGATTAAGCTCAGAGATAAGCAGAAGTTGCATTTCCTTGAACACATGGAAGCTGCCATTACTGTAAGTTTTTCCCTCTTTACAAGCAAGAGAGGTGGCCAATTATTCAGAGGACTGTGAGCAGGTATAACTAACCACTTACTGCTTGCTCAGGATGTCTGCAGATCATCATCTGGCCTGCTTTTCAGGTTGCATTACCAATATGATGCCCATGAATTGATAAGTCATTTTAGGAGGATTTAAGAGGTAAATACTACACAATTGTAAGTGGAAAGTGTAAATACTACAGCATTACAAGTGATCTTGCAACTTTATACTCAAGCACAGATTACATCACTAAGAAAAAGCTAAGCAAAATTGTCAAAAATGGATATTTAAAAATTAATGCTGTTGTTACAACTAATATTAAATGTGATTTGTGTGGATTTTCTCAGTAAAATTATGGTGGTAGAAGGATGCATTTCATTAAACAGAAGACAGACCCACCAAGCCCAATGAGAATAAGACCCATGCTTCAGAGCATGTTTAAGAACTCACTGGATTAAGTTACAGCAAAATACGTTAGACTTCAGAGGAGACCCAGTCTGTCCCTTCCTCACTTCACCCCTCATGCCCTGACTGCAGACCAGGGAGCACCTGCAGCCAGCTCACCTCTTCCTTCAGTTCAGTTACACCTTGCTTATGCTGTTCTCCCACAGCCAGTCTGTATCTGCCATCCACAAAGATGGATTTAGGAAGACACGGCCCTATCAGCAAATAGTGCAGAAAATGTTTGGAAAAGCATTCATGTAAGGAAAAGTAAGACCTAAGCACTAGCTTTTGATGTAACAAAAAGAGGTAAGTTCTCTTGCTACTCCATAGCATGGAAATATGCTCTCTTCATCCTGTTCTCACATACTTTTATATACTTTTCTTTTAAAAACACTCAGAGTAAAGCTTTTGAAGCTCTATACACACAAGCATTTTCTAAAAGCTACATTTACATCCATTTGAAGTGTTCCAAGTTGTTTTTCAAGTGAAGATACGCATTAAAAAAAAAAACAAAAACAAAAAAAAACCATTAACTTTCCTCCCCACCAAGCAGAAAATTTAGTGCTCATGACAAGTGACCGTTAAAAGCAAAAGTCTCGAGATATGGGAAGCAGGAGAGCAACACTAAAAACCTGTCCTGTTTTTTATGACCATCACCATCCCCTACAAACAGGAAGGAAGTCAACTCTTTGAAAGGGTAGATAACAGCAGGACAAGGGGAAATGGTTTTTAAGTCGAAGGAGGGAAAATTTAGGTTGGATGTCAGAGGGAAGTTCTGTCCTATGAGAGTGGTGAGGTGCTGGAACAGCTGCCCAGAGAGGCTGTGATGCCCCGTCCATCCCTGGAGGCGTTCAAGGCCAGGTTGGATGGGGCCCTGGGCAGCCTGGGCTGCTATGATATGTGGAGGTTGGTGGCCCTGCGTGTGGCAGGGGGTTGGAGCTTCGTGATCCTTGAGGTCCCTTCCACCCCTGGCCATTCTGTGATTCTGTGACCTTTCTTTCTACATGATGTACATACTGTCCTCTGAGTAATTAGTGTACACAAGATCCTCACCAGAATTTATGAATACTGTCAGTTCATAGTGGTTATTCCCTCTGGTTGAGCAGTTTTGCACATTTTTAAACATCCCTGTCAAACCACTGTAGGCAGAAAACATTTAAAATAATTAAGAAACTAAGAACAACAAAAAACAGGTACAAACTAAAAAAATAAAAAAATGTAAAAAAATCTGGTTTTTTTTGTGAACTTAATGACCTCGGACTGCAGGAGCAGCAGACACGGGTGGCACATCGCCATTTGCACGTCGCTCCCGCTGCAGCCGCTATCGACGCTCTCGCACGTCACGCGCGCCGCTCGCACAGCCGGTGGGAGGGCGCCCCCTAGCGGCAACACGGCTCATTGCAGGCAGCGAACAAAGGAATGGGCCGGCTTAACGAAGCGCCCAGCTAAAACCCACTGAAGCAGCTGAGAAACCTCGAGGCTCCTGTCGCTAGGCAGACCTTGACACAGATGAGGAGAGATTTCTGCTTTAGGGCTTTTCCACCATTAGGTACAGCCAACTCCTAGGAGATGCTGTATCAGCCCCAAAAGTTATTAGCACGGACTTTGCCAAACACACATCTCTACAGAACGGGATGCAAGCAGCTAAACAGCAACAGTTCTGATTTATTTAAATGGGCCAAAAAGATACAAAAAATAAGGAGTGGATTTTCACCAGCTAATGTTCACTGAAACTATCTTCACTAACATAAACAAGCAAAACTTATCATAGGGCAAGAGTTTGCTCTGCAGATGAAGCAATTCCAGCACAGAACACCTGAGCCAGAAGCACAGCTGCAGCCATAAGCACAGGGAGCTGCCTTTCAAAGCTCTTCAGTCTCAACTCACCTCAATCTCAGCTAATAAGCACGCAGCACCTTCTCCCAAAACTGGGAGCAACACGCGAAGGGACAAACGTATCAGTAATTCCTATGTACAACCATCAGCGTCAAGCAAACAGGAACACACAAATAAACTCCTCAATGCATCCTCTGCGACGTGGCAGGTCAAAAAATTCAATTGCAAAGAATAAACGCGCACACCAAAGACAAAAAAAAAGTGAATTTCGACCTTACCGTGAATTCTCCAGCACTGCAAGTCGTCATCTGGAAGCACGCGAGGGAAGCCGCGATCCGTTCGCACAGAGCTGTCGGCGTGAAGGCGGCCGCACCACGCAGCAGCAGCACGCGGCCCTCAGCAGCACGAGTCGCACCCGCTCCTGCGGCCTTTTTTTGGGCGCCCCGCCCCGCCCCTCCCCTCGGCAGCGCACAGCTGTGCCACGGCGCCTCGGGCCGCCAGCCGGGCCTCGGCTATCCGGGTTCACGTGCACGTGGAGCGCTGCTGGGCGAGGGAGGAAACCCGGAGCGGAGGGGACGCAGCACGGGGAGGCTGAGGCGGGTCAGCGCAGCACGCCGCGGCTCCTCGAGGCTTCTCTCCCAACCCCGGCCTTACAGCCGACCGTCCTGGGGCAACCGACGAAGAAAAGCCCTGAGGCTGTGGAGGAAGGCGCAGCGTAGGAACAGAGAAGGGGCCGTAAGAAAGGAGATGCTCCCGGGTAAACGGAGCATCACTTCAGATAGCAGACAATCACGGATTTAATGCAGGGTACTAAGAGAAGAACAAGTCTTTTCAACTGCTGGCAAAGCCACGAGATGTGGTCAACGGTGGTGTGGCACAATGTAGCAGTGTAATAAACTGTCTGCTAACCAAGTTTCTACCTTCTGTACTCCTCAGAAACACGAGAAGAGCAGTAATTATAATGGCGTGGTTCTATCTTCTGTGAAAGTTCCCCTCAGATTTGTTTCTGGTTGTAGGATTTGCCTGAAGCAAGCCTGCTGCTAACAGCCTCCATAGAGCACCAAACAGCATCATCCATCACAGCTGTGAGCAGCAAGGCTTCACCAGGAGGTGGTAACGCTGACAGCAGCTGTGGCATGAGATAATTGGGTGTGTTTGATTTGAACCATCTTAATCAGATGTTTCCCTCTTCATTTTTTTCTGCAGAAATTATATTGAGCTCTGTCACAACAAAAAGCAGCACCTGGATTGCACAGAAAAGGGAATGACCCAGCAGCAGTGGAAACTGTGCACTTTGGGATTTCAGGTTCCATACTCAATTTCTTCTGGCACTAGAATGAGAAGTGAGCATATGAAATGTTACAACACTCTCTGAGAAGAGTTCCACTGAAAAAATAAGTGTTTACCACACACATTTCTGGCTTACCAGATCATATGAAAAACAACAGACACCCCTACGCACTCCCTCACAAAATACATACACTCTTCTGAAGTCAAGGGGTCAACAGAGTAGATAAAAGGTTATTATCAGAAAATGATGCCCCGTGAGATTACGTTAAAGCATAAGTTACTTTCAGAAACCAACACCCATCGTAAGCATCTCTTTTATTCGTTGTAATATAAAGAAGCATACATCATTCAGTTCCTTTAAGTACAACGCATTGTACGCTAACAAAACGAAACAAAAAAATCAATCCAGACATCCATGAACATGTCACAAAAGGACTCATGTTTTGCTCTGCTGGTATTGCACTTGGAATAGTTTTGAAGTAAGGCACGGTAAAAACAAAGTCATTTAGTGCTTCTACAGCAGATGTCTTTTTTTTTTTTTAAACACATGCTACATGACAAAGTACTTCTTCTAGCTTATGTATATACACACAAAGAAAAAAGCATGCACTAGAGAATTTAGATTTCAACATATCTTGTTGTTTCATAATATACAAATAAAGTAGTTCAAAGATGTAAACAAATTGCATGCACATAAACTAGAGCAAAATCTTTAATACAGTATTTGAAAGCTATTATGCTTAAATAAAAAAATATAACTTATTAGTACTCAGGTTTATGTGCCATTTTTGTCCTGTAGAGATTAAAAATTTGGGGTTGGGTAGGGAATTCTGGTTGGGCACAGAGGATTCTTCCGTTTTTGCCACTGTTTTTATTTTTTGCTTTACACATTTGGCAGCAGTACATTGGTAGGAAAGACAAATATGGCTTTTGCAAAACAACATAATGAAAACATGAGAAAGCACAACTGTATTTGGGGTCCAGCATCCTGGTATTTTCCAATCAAGAACAACCATGAAAAAAAAAAAAAAAAAAATCAATGAGCTATATGCTTTGAGATGGGAATGCTACACATTCCAAAAGCCCTTTATAAAGACATTTCAATTCTACAAAAAACAGACACTTTGCCAAGTGTAAACTCTTAAAAACTAAACAGAAGAATCTGAATGACTCAAGCTTCACTTTCCACTTCAAATGCTACTGAACAGGCAATAGGTTCCTCCCATGGCTGCGACAGCTGAAGTGCTATTAGACTGTCTTCAGAATTAACAAGTTGCCAATAAGGGGTTTGCTTATTTTCAAACAAGTACATAAGAGAATAAGTAAATTAACTGCATATATTTTCCTGTTGCTTTATCTTTGGCATACAATACACCCTTTTTCAAATTAAATACAGGACATGTACCATTCTACATTCCAACACAGCATGTTGAAAAGGCACATTTGATGCTGCAGGGGTGGCAAGGGAAGACTCCTTATTTAGTAAAAGGCACAGTGTTCAGCATGACATTCCTTCCCCATGCCCCAGAGTGTGTTTAGTTAGACCAGCAACAGTTCTACACAGCAGCCTCCCAGGAGCTGTCCATTTTTCTCAGCCACTGCTTTCTTAGCTAGATCCAGGCTTGGAAAAGTCACCAATGCCTCTCCACTGGGCTGGCCACTAAAGTTGTAAAGCATGAGGATGGAATCTGTGTGGAGCTGCAACGGTACAAAAAGACAAAAGGAAATGTGCTATTAAAACCAGAGATGACATCTGGAACAGCAGTTTTTTCATTCTCTGTATCAGGTTCATTCCACTCCTGTGTTTGCACTGAAGAGATTCTGGATGCAAGAATGAGGAAAAAAAGAGAGGAGACCAAAGATTAACAGAAATATGCTTTCAGCAGCAGCTCCTACTCTGCTGGTGTACTGAACAGAATGATGTAGACATAATTCCATGCAGAGCTTTTGCTAGAGAAGTAATTCAGCTTACAAGTTGACCAGAAAGACTTAGATGTTAATAAAGGATTAAAGGAGCAAGAAAATGCAAGCATTCAGAAGGTAATTCTTGTAATATGTGGACTACTGGCCAACTGACAAAGGCTGTAACAGCATGTGACTTGCATGCAAAGATTACAAAAAGAGACAGATGTATTACAGTTCTGTGTTGTGAAGATCTGCTGATCTTCACCCAGGTATACAAAGCAAGAAAGACTTCTCAGTGAAAGAAAGCTGAAGTACTGCACCAAATCTTACTGAACCAAGGAAAACTTTTTAATCATTTTAAGGAAGCTAAGAAAGACAGGATAGCAAAGTAAATTAGTTATTTACTGCAGAGTGCACCTGCAGTTCCTGATATGGAAGACAGTTTCAAAATGCTGAGTTTAAAGCAGATGTGTCTGCTCCCCTGTGGTACCCAGCCATCTCCTACAGCACTGGAAACCTGTACAGGTTAAGTTCAGAAGTCCCACTTGTACACTGGACAGAAATGGATCTGAGTGAAATTTCTAAACAAAAGATTGAAGGATTAAAAGCAAACAAAAAAAAGCCCAGCATACAAGATTAGTCTGTTGCAGAATTCAGTGCCAAACAAAACATGCAAGCTTTGCTGCAAGGCCAACCATTTTAGGAGTATTTTCCTGACTTAAGTTCATGTGACATCTGCCCTCCTGAGCTTATGAAGGATCAAAATACTGAAGTTGAATAGAATTCATGTATGCCTCACTGTCTGAAATGAATACTAGACTTCTCAGTTATTATCAGAAGTTTTTGATCAGCTTTACATTCAAACATAGAAGAATAAAGTAACACATGCTGGAGCTTCACAAACCCAAATATTTGGCAGGCAATAAAATTATTCTTGAAGATAGAAGCAACAACATATTTTAGAAACTAAAAGCATGGATATAGCATAAGGACAGCTAGCACAGACTTCACATCCATTTCATTTTATAAAGTTAGTTAAGAAATAGCATGCAGGAAGAAATTCAAAGACAAAACATCATGTCTGAAGCCCGGTTCAGATTTAAATTGAGTTTTATTCCAGAATGACACTGTGCTCAAAGAGAAAAATTGCACAAATCTGAGATAAGATATTCTGCTCTAAAATAGTTCTTTACTGCTGATCCTTGTAACAGCAAGTCATTTTCTGCTGGTCCTCTATTTAAGCTAAATAATGCTGTTAAAAATCAGTTGAAAACATACATGGAGCATAATTAGACTGCTGAGCACAGAAGACAGCAGGAATGGTATCTATAATCTTTGAAGTATGCAGAATTCACATTGAGCTACTCTACAACTTCTTTTCTAGTCAAAGACCATTTCCATCTAATACACAGTAGAACCCTATTGCTGGTTGGCTTTCCAGAAAATCTGGGTAAAAGAAGAGAGACAAATGGATTGTCTCAGTCTACATAAACACAAAAATGCTCCAAGTAGTAGCAGGTATTCTGCATACCACAGAAAATACAGCCTCTGCTCCATCTTCTCCTTAGCAGATCTAATAGTAACATTATAAAGCAAGTAATTCAAAAAACAACTGAGCAAATGCTGATTATATGAGAGTAGTTATGTTGATTACGGAGGGCATGAACATACTGCTATTAAGGCAAAGTATTTGATTACCCTTTTGTTGCACTGAAACTTTTTTTAAACCCTCCAAAAGGGGGAAAAAAATCCCACAGCAACTAATCAGTAGCATTTTGAATGGAATACAATAGCAATGATTAATTGCACCTAAGTATCAATGGCATTTCTCTTCAAAGTATATGGTAGTACTGAAAAGAACGCCATTAGTTTGTTGTATTAGAAAACCACTATACCAAAAAATCTCTCCTAAAAACAAAACAAAAAAAGTAGTTCACATTTCTTCAGTGAGATCAAGAGGCAGAGAAAAGATCCAGAGGTTTTGGAATTTTGTGCACACATTCAATAGTCACATCAAGAAAAAAAAAAAAAAAAAAAGACCATCTGCCTGTATGTTAGATACTGGACTGAAAGCTTTAATGAAAACACACATTTTTGGAAGGCTAACACACTATCTGAGCAAAACCAGGCAATCTCACCACAGCTACTCCACCAATTACAGATCATGATTGGCCTTTTTGCTTAGGTTAGTAGATTATTTTTTTTTTAATAGGACAAAAGCAAAAGATTAAAGCAAGGATCCCGACGCAAGCTAAGAAGGGGGAAAGAAAACAAAAACTGCATCAAGAAACCCTGCTTTAGCTTCCCATACACCATTGGAGATCCAGTTGCTTCGAGTTGCATCTTACCTTCTTTGGAAGTTACAAAGAGTTACAAACAGACCCACTCTTTCGGTGCTTGTAACACACTCCTTGCTTGTTCGCTCAGCTGAATAAGGCCATTGTAGTCATCAGGTGCATACTATAGTACAAGTGTGACATATGATAATCAGCAAGAGAAGGAACAGTTCTGGTACAGCAAGCCACACAGACTATCATTTGCAACCACAATTAAGAGCATTAGCTATAACAACTGGCAGGAGACAGTGAATTTGACAGATGCTATTTTAAAGCAAGATTGAAAAACAACCATCAACTGAATTACTGGTTGTAAGAATGGAATTGAAGTATAAGCACGTGGGGAATATTCTGAACTGTGTATTTGAGCTGCTCCTAATTAACAAAAGGAAACAGTTTAGACCATGAAGTATTCCTTTTCATCTTGTACTCGTGAGACAGTAGCATTAGTTAACAAATATTTTAAGTCTGCACAATCACGCTCCAGAAATGACTCTCACTGGGACAGCTAAGCATCTTTCAGCGTGCACACTGGGATTAGAAGTGTACAGATCTCGTTCAGATCTTCTATGCAGTCATGGAAATAATCTGCAGCTTCCCTAGTGCAGAGTGCTAAACACACTTCAGCTGTATAAAATACTTGCATTATACAGACTTGACATCAACAAAGTCAAACAAAAACGATGTCCCAGCATGAATGTACTTAATAGATTTTTTCCAAGGCATTTATACTAATACAGCTTATTTCCACATAAGAAAAGAAAAGCTACTCAGGTTAACTGCATCACAATAGACTTGTAGAGTATTTCAAATAAAAACACTGGCTGCACAGTACAGTCACACCAATGAATAGAAGATAAAACCCCCACATATGTGGGTTTTATTTAAGAAATATTTGAGATCTTGAATCTGAACAGTTATCGTGCACACTGCCGGGGAGCCTGGTACAAATATGAGATCTATGATCAGAAAGATTATCTTGGGAAACATGGAACATTGTTTTGCATGTCTCTCATTGTCTCTCCAAACTGACATATCCTGGAAAAGGACTGAGCATACTTGCACATGGTACAAACGCTACTGGAGTGGTTCCTGTAACCCAGATGACAATGTCTACCACAACTCAAGTTACAGAACAACCTTTCAGTGGCAAGGAGAGTTTTCTATGTCCCCCAAAATGGTTTTGTATTAATATTTTTAGAAGATTGCCAAATGCACACAAAGTACACATACTGCTTTCTTTGATATTTCTATAATACAAGAAGTCTCCTGCCAGCTTAGGGAGGAAATGATACTAT